CAGGAGGAGGGAAGGAGAACAGCCCCAGCAGTGCAGCAGTGCAACCCTCATCACCCAAAATAAAAACCTCTGCCTCTGACACCTCCACCTGAAATTTCTCCTTCATTCAAGGGGAGTAAAAAGTCTTTGTGTGCATGTTCACCTCCCCAGGTTTGGGGAGATGGATCTGAGCTCACCATACCTGGATTTGCACAGGAATCCTCTCCTGCCAGGCAGAGAAACACCAGGAGGAGGGAGCTCTGTGTTTCTCTGTGTGGGAATAGATTAATCACATTTTTCACCAAGGACAAACGAGCCTTCAGTGCATGGGATGTAGATTTCCTAAGTGCCCAGGTTGTTTCAGCTCTTCCACAGGAAACAAAAATTTCCCTTTTCCCAGTTTCACTTTGCCACGTGCAGCAGCAGCCGAGCTACAGGGCTTGAGACAGAAAAGTACTAGACACAATATATAATTTGGTGCTCTCACCCTCTCTGAGCAGCAAAAAAAAAGAAGATTTTTTCATCATTATTCCTGTAAAACTTCTCCTTGAGTGTAAGGAACAGTCAGGGCTTGGTCCCCTTTGGGGAAGGATTATACAAACATGGCAAATACACATAAGAGCAAATTTAATTCCCCCAGAACTGGCACTCACAACCCATTATTTCCTATTCTTCTTTCCCCTCAGGTGTTTCTCCACCCCATGATTTTACTTTTGTCTCCACAGAAACTCCGATCACCTTCATTTCAAAGCATACACACGTGTGCCAGTGAGCTTCTGAACTCTGGAGGTTTGAAGGCACTTGCAGGACAGCAGCATCTTCCTAATGCTGAAAATCCCAAATGGTTGGAGTCCCAAATGGTTGGAAATGCAATCAGCCAGTAGAACAAGTTGATTCTAGCTATCACTTACTACTAATTCTGACAAAAATAAGACAAAAATCATAATTTCCCCAGCACCAACAGTAGTCATCTAAAAATCTTGATTGAGGACTTCAGAGCATTGGCTGCAACTCCATGAGAACATTAAAAATAGCGGGGTTTTTTTGGCCATAGCCTTTGACACCTTCTTGTAAACAGATTTTTGAGGGTCAGCAATGAACCCTTCCTTCAACACAAAATGTGGATTCAAAGTGTAAAATTTGGGAGCTGAGTCTTTAACCCTAAAACTGATAAAATCTCTGGAATAACTGGCAAAACTGCTGTCTTTTTCTGCCTTTTTGCAGTTCACACATCCTGTAGAGAGTATCAAGGCCGCTGACATGGGAGGTGTTCTGGAAGGTTTTCAGGGTGTGCTGCTGATGTGTCTCTCATGCTGAAGGTGAGTGGAACACCTCTCTGTGACTCCTTTGGACCTTCCTTCTACACCTCCTTTCCTTTCCAGCTGATGCTTCCAAATCTGGCTGCCCTGCTTCTCTGCCTGTTTGTTTTCTTGAGTCTCACATCACTATTTGCATTTCTCCTGCTTTCCTCGGGCGACAGGCAGATCTGAAGTCAGATTTTCAATGGTGGAGAATAACATCAAGATCAAATTCCACATCTATGTTGCACGTTGTGTTGAAATAACCACGGGCTAATAGGAGCCTTACGAATGAACAAATGAAAATCAGCCAAAAAGACAGAAGAGATGAGGGGAAATGAATCTATTAGCATTATCTGGAAACTTAATCTTGAATTTTGGCTGCCCTTTTGTCAGGTTAATATAATCAGATAAGGCTGTGAAAATACAGATAGCAATTAGCATCTTTAACTTGGAATAAATGAACAAGTAATTCAATACTGGAAATATATTCAGCTTTTTCTCTATTTGTGCAGAACATGACAAAAGATTAACTATCTCCAAGGTTTCCCAGTTGCAACTGAGAGCTATTTGTAATAATGGGAGGACTGTGGTATTTTATCCCTCAGAAAACAGTTATGTGATTTCTCCTGTGCTGAGTGAGGTACAGTGGTATTTCATGTATAAGGAGTCCCCGTTTGATAGATCACAGAGCACAGCTGGCTGCAAAACTCCTTTATACCTCACATAAATCTCCATCATGGCAACTAGTGCCACAGTACTCATTTTTACATTCTTTGGGAAAAGAGGAGAGCTTTACAATGAGAACATTACATGTTCTATATATATATTTCTTTATTTCCTGCATTAAAAATCCTTACTTGCAGCTCAGGGAACCCCTTGCCCCTCTTGAAGATCTGTCACTCCCATTAATTCCACTGGCATCTCCTTGCAGATACTCTCTGCTCTGATTTGACTCCTTTTGATTAATTTGACATACCTAAATTATTTTGTTTCCTCTCAGGCCACCGCTTTGGTGCCTCCTTGTGAAATGCCAGCTGCCACCTCCAAGGAGCTGGAACAAAGCTGTGTCAGCCTCCTCTCACCTGGGATCTCCTGGTCAGGCTCATGGCTGGGATCAGGTCAGACATTGTCAGAATCTGTGGTATTTAAATGATCCTGAGATTGCAGAAAGTCTCTGTCTGTCAGCCCCACTGCCAAAGCAGAAGCCATAATTGGTCTGTGCTGGTTTCAAGGTTGTTTATTCTGTTTATCTCTAACATGTTCTGCTGCCCTGCCGCAGCTCTGTCCTGCAGGGCAGCGTGTGGGGCTCTGCCCTCAGTGGGATGTTACAAACATTAAATACCAGAAACTACCTGTGCTGGATTTACAATAACGTGCCAATATCTGTCACCTACGTTGGACAGTGTGTCCCCAGCCTGAACCAACAGAAAAATGCCAACACCACAGTGAAACATGGAGGGCATGAAGAAGGAGAAAAAGGACAAGGCACACCCAATTTCCTCCATCTTGTCCCCTTTGGACCCCTCATCTAGAATCCTAAAATTTTACTTTTGCACCCGTGCCACACTTAATTATTACTGATATCAAACACTCAGAGCTGGTAATTCATCCTGTAAGACTGAAAACTCTTTTCCATGGACAGAGATCACAGCCAGTGTCTCTGGGGGCTCTGTCCAGGGGGGTTCCTGACCCCTGCCAGGGTCCCAGACTTGTCAGATCAGCCAGAGGGAAGCTCTGGATTAGCACAGACACCCTCCTAAAGAATCCCTTTTTGCTTTTCATTGCTGGCAAAGCACTTTGTTCGTGGAAACCTGCCTCTTCTCACTCCTGGAGTGGAAGTGAGATGTTTTCCTGGCACCTGATGTTCCTGTGGCCCTGCTTCCCTGACAGACGTGTTCATGCTAACCTGTAGGAACCATTCCTGACCCCATGTCGTCCCCATCCTGTACAAGATGATTTCCCCTCTCTTCTGCCAAAAGATTCATTATTTTGGGCTGGTTTGGGGCACTGACTGTCTTCTCCTTCTTGTCCACATGTGCAGTTGAAGATTCTTCCACTTATTTCTGACACTGTTACATGACAGTAAGAGCTGTTAATGCCTCAGATGAGGCTCCAATTAACACCCACATTTAATTACTTTGCACAGACAAAGTATAGAAAGGAGACTTTTTCAGCTGCCAGTGACAAAATTGACTTCTTCATTTATGAAGCTGTTGTTTGGATCTCCTTGTCCTTAGATCCTCTTTGTGAATTTAAAGGTTAAAAGAAAGCATTTTTTGAAGCAAGTCAAGAGGAAGTTTCCTGTTTTTTCAGCAAATATGCCTTCAATATCTGGATTTGTCATTGATGAATCAGGTTTGGCTCTGTTCCACTGTGCTTTCCTGATAGAAAGTCAAAGAGCAGGGTAAAGACAGGGGAATTTAATTTTAATTTTTGAAATGTTTATTTTTAGGTAAACCTCTTGGTTCAGCAGAAAGCACAGGAGTAGAAAGCACTTATCCAAAAGATCTGGAAGAACTGTACATCTTGTTCTGCTTAGTCCCTCTCTGACCTTAAATTTCTCAGCTTCATCTGTACCTGAAAAAAATCACTGCACGTGTGGAGGGAGGTGAGATCCACAGGGGCAACTCAAAGGGGATGTCATGAAATGCTGAAATCAAACTGCAGACCCAGAAAGGGTTTTTATCTGGGTCTGATAAGCAGGGCCTGGACTATCAGGATCCTAAAAGAGCAGCATGACCAGCTCCTCTGCCCTGCTGAGCAGCAATCACACCTCATTCATCCACCCAGCCCCTGGCAAATCAAACAGATGTGATAAAAGGGAGGCTGCACAGCAGCAGATGGTGGGCATGGTGCTGAGGGGTCTCTGCTGGGCAAAAAAGCAGCATGGACAGCCCAGCAGCTCCAGCAGACACTGCCCTGGCACCTGCAAGAGGCTCTGATGCCTGGCAGGAGTCAGAGACCCTGGCACAGGATGGGGCTGGGGGGTCCTGGTGCCATCCTTAAGATTTCAGCTTTTATATTTCTCAAATCCTGGACTGCTTTAGGGTGTAACTCTAAACTCCATACACAGTGTTAGTTGCTGTCTTCACGTTTTTGGTCAGACAAAACAATCCCTCTGGGCCTGAAACTCAAGGACACCCTACAGCCTCAGGCACCAAAAGTATAAACAAAAGTTAACTGGGGGGAGCAAACTGGGGGTAAATTACTTCATTACCTGGAGCTGGAATTGGAGGATTAAACTCTGATATGCAAGTGGACCAAACTTATAATTGTGTGAAAAACTAGTGACCATTGGGTGTACACCACCTTGAGTGTAGCCTCTGTGGAGGTTTTTCTGCCATAAATGTGCCTGAAGGCCCTTAATTAAATATATTTTGTTTCATTCTCTTAATTCTGCCTGGCCTCTGTTTTTAGGTAAGCCCAAAAAAGGCATCAGAGGCCCTGGCACAGGAGTGATGCCCCCTGCCCAAGCCAGCTCTGAGCAGCCACAACACCCCTGGCATGTGCACATTTACCCTCTGGTGGCACTGTCTGAGCTCTCCAGAGTACAGACACCTCGCTGTTCCCCTGGAGTGTGAATATTTGGTGCAACCTCATCCCCTCTGACTCCCTCTGCCTTGGGCTGGTGCTGAACCAATGAGCTGATCAAGGAGCTTCTGTGGAAATAAATTTTTCTGCTGCAAGGAAAGATAGTGAAAATCTGCAATTGTAGCTCTGTCAGGGAAAAAAAAAAATATCTATTTTATTAGTTTGTTCCCTCTGGACAAGGCTTATTTGCTTCAACAACTTCACATTTTCATATTCACACAATGAAATCAGAGAATCATGTAGGAAAATACCTTTAAGATCACCAAGTCCAACCCTTAACCTAACCATGTGTCCCTTAAGCAACTAAACCCCTTTCAGGCAGCATAAAAAGGTGACAAGAAAACACACAACATACAGTGCTAGGGTTTCAATGCACCCACGTGTTGAAGTCAAAATTTGAGTTAAAAACCTCAAGGGTAGTAAGTAAACTGTGGTATAAGTTGGTGGTAAAAGGAGATTTTTAGTGGCTGTGTCATCTAAGGAGCTGAGCAACAAGAGGTTGCAAGTGGGATGCAGCTGAGTCTCACAAAAAAAGATTTTTTTTGTGGATACAGGAAGAAATTTTGCCATGTCCTTAGCTCCAGCATCCAAAACCCTCTTCCAGCCAACTTCAAAGCAAGGATGGTTTTGGTACAGCTTTTGCTGCACAGAACAAAACTCGGGAAGCAATTCCTCTGAAGATTCCAGGGGCTTGCAAAGGAAAAACTCTTTGGATGTACTCACAAAGCCTTCTTGTAACACGAGGCAAGGGAAGCTGGTGGATGCGAAACACAGAGAGCATTTTCTCCTAGCCCCCTTTGGTACAGATGAAAAGCATAAGTGGATTAACACCTGTGCATCTCTTTCCAAAGGGGAGCAGTTATGTGAAGGTGACATTAAAACCAGTGAAGGGTTCAGCGTTACGTTTGAGTTTCCAGAAGTGACTGCTGGAAGACAGGAAACAATAATGTTTTAAAGAGGTCTGTGAAAGGGTCATTGTGCTGGTGTTTCTCCACATTAAATCACACATTTGTCAGTGAGCCTGTAGACCACAAGCCATCCCAAACTTTCTTACAGTTGCAGCCTGGAGCCCGTATGGTAAAAATTCAGGTCCCCAGGAGCCCACTTCACAGGATACCTTTCTTTGTTAAAACAAATATACTATTACATATTTTTCCTTGGCAAAACAAAAGCGATTGTTGTCTCCACGAGACCTCAGGCTCCAAGAGGTAGACGACAGCAGCCTGCTTGTAAGAGCCCTTCACTACAGCAAAGCATGCATCCATTCATCTGCAGAGTTTTGGGTGTTTCAGCTTGGGTCGTCAATGGTCCACAGTCAGTTTTGCTTCAAAATCCTTGTACACACCTTGACGTATGAAAGTGTTGGTTTGTTTTTCTCCTAGGGGAAGCTGAGTGCTGAAAACCTAGCTTGCTTAAAATAATGAATTGGAAGTAAAAGTAATCATTGAAAGGCCAGGCTCTTCTGTGAATTGGTTTTCTGTACAGTGGGCTGGCGTACAATGCCTCATTATTTGCTTGCCTGTGCATTCAGAGGCAAGGAAAAGGAAAAGAATTATCTCTCCTCAAGTCCAGTGGCTTGGCACTGAAATTGCAGGATTGAAATAAAGTGCAAGTAGCTGCATTCTCCCCCAAAGGCATCACTGAACCCCCCCATGCCTTAAATACAGATGTCAATGAGCCCATGCAGACCAAACCCCTTTCTGTCTACTCCCCTTAAAACACCTTCTGGTTTACTGACCATATTTAGACCCTTTGGCAGTCTATAAAAAGTGCTACATGATCTTAGCTGCACTAAAACCAGTCAGAGCTATACCCTGTTTCACACTTATGGCGAAAAAAACCTCATTTCCTATGGAGGGATTGTCAAAGGTGCCTGAGGGCTGGATCTACAAAGTGATTTTAAAATCCTTGGCCAAATTTCCAAGCACAGCTGGCATCTACAAAGGGGCTGGATTCACAAAGGGGATTTAGGTTCAGCTTTTCAGCAGCTCACTCCTACCAGGACCTATGGAGCTGTACCTGGGGCCCTCATGGAGCAGAGGAGGAGCTCCACAATGAGGAAAAACTGCTGGATGAGCTCAGGATGAGAAGAGTCAGAGCATCATCCTTTCCTCATGGCCTTGAGCAACCTTGAGACCAACAAGCCCATGGGTGTAGAATGGTCTGTATGTTTATGTCCCATAAACATATAGACCATTCCCCCACAGGAACAATGGCAGAGAAAGGCACAAAAAAATACATTTTAATCTGTGTTTTTTCTCCAGAGATGACAGAAGAAGAATCCCACTCTCTTTCCAAAGTGAAAGGTTCTCAGAGCTGGTGTCACTGGAATTGAGCACTCAAACTTCCAGCTGATGGAACCCTCCCAGTCCAGGTTATGTTTATCAATGCCTCCAAATTCATCTGTTTCATGGTCAGCCGGCAATTTTTCCAAACTTTATGACCTAGGTTTGAAAACTGCCCAGGTAAAACTAAACAGGCCATGTGGAAAGGAAGTATTTATTTCTGTGCATTAAGGATAAGGGCAAAGATAAAATTAACTTAGCTCAGTAGGATTCAACAATTAAATGCAAATAACATGCAACACGTACTCTCTTAACATCTGCTAAGAATTATCTGTTTTAAAAAGACTTATCATAGCTCAACAGAGTTAATTGTCCCACAGAGGAACCATTTTGAAAAAAAAACAGTTTCTATTTGCCAAGGTTCCTCCTAAAATCTATCAGAATTTTATGGGAGGCTCCTGACTTTAAAACCAGTTGCTCCAGGATGGGATTTCCCAGCAGACTGGGGACTCCAAGGATAACCAGATGCCACAGTTCACCTCAGATCCGTGTCCTCCTGCAGTCCCACTGTCCCCTGGGAACACCAGAGAGGAATTTATCTCCCTAACTTCAGTCATGAGATGAAGCAAAACCGTAAATCACCTTTTTTTGCCTTCCTTAAGTATGGAGGATATCTAAGGTGATTATTCCAGACACATGAGTGCCTAATAACACAACAAAAAGTTGAAGTGTCTTGGAGCCTTCCAGGATAATTAACTCTACATCTAGATGGTGACAGGTTAAATCACAGAATTTCCTCTACGCCTTGTGTGGAGGGGGAGTCTGGGCCAAGAGGCAAAGCTCTGAAAGAAGATTTTGGCTGAGGTAAGACTGACTAAATTATGAGGCCACTGCTGTGTGAGGGTGTGCAAAGAGGAGCTAAAAGAAATAGGAGCAAGGATGCAAGAAAAGAGGCCAGAGGAGAATGCTCAGGGGTAGCAAGGCTGTGTTGGGTGGTTTTTGGAAACATGAACAAGGTTCACAACCCAGTGCCCAGTTAAGGCAGAACAGAGCCAGATGGCATCCCACAACAGGCACCCAAAATGCTGCAGGTTTGATACGGAACAGGGCTATGGAAAGGCACAGACTTTTGTCAGAACGGTTACATTTCACACTTTAATCCGCAGACACTGTAAAAACAAGAGACTGGGTTTTATTCAAATCTGCTGAGTAAGTCCTATTCCACAACATTTCCAAGAGCCACTGAGCAATATCTTATGGAAAGGTTATTACTTTTATGTGGCTTGAAGCCACGAAGAGAGGGGCAGTTTGGAAGTGTGAGAGCCTCTCAGATAGGCTTCCTCTCCCCCAAGGGATGAGTGATCAGGGTTCACATGACACCAAATTTAAAGGGTCACAATTTCAAGGTGCCAGATTACAATTGCACTGAAAACACACAGCTGTTTTCACCCAAAAGCTAGCTTATGGGCTTTTTGCCTGTTTTCCCAGACCTGCCATTGACTGGAAGTGACTCTAAAAGAACAGTGCTGCTCTGAGGCAAACCAACCATGTAGCTGAGAAAGTTCCCCTATCTGATCATCTGAGGGGTTTTTATCAGTCAGCCAGAAAGATGTCAGCCCTGCAGGGGATAAAATGTGTGCATTAATTTCTTTCATGCTTTGTCCTTTGCTGCACCAGGAAATGGGAGCAGCAATCAGGTTTGTGTTGGTGGATGGGCAATTCAGCTCATGTCGCATCTCGCAGCTACCAAAAGTTTAATAGGTTGAACCCTGACCTGTCTTCTGACCGGGCAGTTCCAGAGCTGTCAGACACACTAAAGCTTTCCTGCACTGGTGTAGAATTTAAAAATGTTTTCTAAGGAGTCGCTTCATACAGCGATTGCATCAGCAGCACAGAATTAATTCAAAGAAGGAAACTCACATACCAGAACAACCCTCGTTGTTTCATCTCGTGCATCAGTCAACAGTAAGTCTGAGATAAAGCCACAAGAAGCATGAAAGATTGTGTGCAATCACTGGAGTGTACCCCAAGCTCCAAAAATGCCCCCTCGTTCACCTTTAACGTGCTGAATTCCCAACCAGCCCCGGTTTGAGTCTCAGCTGCAGATTTCCTTGACCTCTCAGTCACTTTGTCTCAGGCACTTTGTTTCCATTTGATGATGATGGAATTAATTTGGCCTGTGTGCTGGGATCCTTACTTACTGGTTGGAACTCCAATGGCTTGAGAAAAATTCCACACAGCCTTGAACTTGAGCTCTCTTTTCATGAGGCACACAACAGAAGAGCTGGAAGAGAAATGTATGTAAGCAGGAGAAAGCCAAAGGCTAGTGACAACTGCAGCTCTGCCCAGCAAAGAGAAGGCATAAATGCTCCTATAACTCAGCCCATCATTTATTTAGAGTGTACATGTCACTATGAAACAATCCCAGTGAAGGGATTTAATAATTTCTGTGAAAGGATGTGGATCTGTTTCAAAGCCCTTTTCCACCACAGCTACTTCAGGACCACTTTTACATGCAGCTCTTTCTTTTTGAATTTTGCCTTCCTTCAACAGGTTGGCCAGTTCAACAGTGCAGAAAATGCAGTGCTGTGTTTGGTTCTGAGTTGCAGAGTAGAGATCAGTGGAAGTTTAGGCCCTTGTTCAGAAAATACTTAATCCAGCTTGAGTTCCTCAGTTTCCTTTCACTGCTCCCTTCAAACACTGGACTCTGATGACCGCAGAACAGCAGAGACAAAGTGTGAATTTCCCAGAGCATCTGTGGCTGCCCCTTGATCCCTGGAAGTGTCCAAGGCCAGGTTGGACAGGGCTTGGAGCAGCCAGGGACAGTGGGAGGTGACCCTGCCCACCAGGATACCCAGCACACTAAATGAAGGCTGGTGCTGGGATTTGACAAACAACTCGTCCTGGCTTTTGCTGGTTAAATAAACAATATACCAATCACTCTGTGGTTGGCAATGAGCTGATGAAAATTTGTGTTCAACGTTCGCTGAGTGTAGCAGCAGCTCTTCAACATCTCAGGAAAAGGACACAGAATCCCAGAACCATGAAGGCTGGAAAAGACCTTGAGACCATCAAGTCCAGCCCAGCACCATCCCTGTGCTCACCATTAACCATGTCCTCAAATGCCACACTATTTTTGATCACTTCCAGAGAATCTGCATCTGCTCTGGGCAGCCTGTTCCATGAGGAAATTTTTCCTGCTGACCAATCCAAACCTGCAGTGCTGAGAGTGAGGGCAATGTTTCGGTGAAATCATGATTTTGCAAACTACAAACAACTGGCTGCTTTGCAGTAGGAGTGGCACTGAAGTGAAGCTAATGCCAAATCAAGGTGAGATTTCTATCTAAAATCACATAAATTGCTTCTACCCCGCTGAGGATGACACAGAGACATATCCAGCCCTGCTGCTTCCTGCCACAGCAAGGACTTCATGCAGACATTTTCTGTCTGCCTCAGGTTTTGGATTTGTATAAAGTTAAAAAAACAAACTGCAGCTGAATCAAAACTGCTGCATTTCACAGGGCTTCTAGGAAAGCTCTGGGGATTATGGCTTCCTTAGTATTTTGACACAGAACTTTACCTCTGAGCTGCTTCTTTAAAAAATAGTCTAAAGTTTGCTCAAGAAGTAACAAATGTTTTGATTAAACCAGTCTGAGCTTGAAACCAAAGTATAAACTCAAGAAGTATATGTAATTTCAGATCTCACATAAACATTTCAAATGGATTTTTAATTGATCTCTCTTTATTTCCTCTCGCTTCCTTGAGAAACAGACTATTTCATATTTTAGAAGGACAACTTACAAAAAATAAGCACTCAAGGTGTCCACAGCCACGGTCTCAAAGTTTGATAGGACATATGCATGTTTCTGTCACATGTATACACCTGATTTACCTGTAGCAAGGATTTTCACACAAAAGTGCACATTACTTGAATGCAGAGTGATTTTTTAATCCTGAAAGCACCAGTGTGTTTCACTTATGGTGTTTTCTTTCTTGTCCCTGGAAAAAAGAGTAACACAGAAATGATTTCTTCCCCACCATCACCTTCTGTAAAAAATAAAAAAAAGGGATTCTATTTCAGTGCCTGGTACACGGGGGCCTTGGAGAGTTCTGCTGTGATGGTGTGTGAGCTGAGTTTATTTGGTCATACATTATTCTCACTTGATATTTACGTGCTGCTGTACTGTGGGAGAAATTAATCACACTGCATTTATCAGAGATAAGCTAATCCAACCAAAGCCCATGGTTTAGCAGGCACAGAGCTTCAGAGGAGAGCAGTAAATTATAACTGGATTTGATTAAGAGGTAATTAGCTAAACCTGTTTACCTTAACCTTTGCTGCAACTGCTGTTTTTACTAGGAGAAGAGTGTCATTAGATTGTGCCTGGGATACAAGTTACGGAGCACACACCACTTCTCACTGTCCAATTTTCATCTGTTATTCAAGGAAGAGGTAGAAAGGTCAGGATCAGATTGCTATTGTACAATCCTCCTGAGATGAGAGCAGAAAGTTTCCTTGACAGAGACAAAATAAGCCATGAAGAACAGTAGTTTATTTTTCAGTAGGATGGAGGGGGAGTCAAAAGAACACATGTCTACAGGCCTAGACAGACTTTTGCAATAATTCAACTGTCTCAGTAGATTTGAGAGCCATTTGAACTCGCTGAGCATTTTGCAGAAACAGGGGAGAGTAATGCCAATTTGCTGCAGACTGCAAAATAGTGCAGCTGAGAAAAGAACTGGGTGAATATATTTTCCAGTGCACTGCATTTTCATAAATTATTTCTAAATTCATTCACTCAGGAGAGTTGAAAGAACCACTGGAAACCAGGCCTTAAATTGCTTTATAGTCATTTAATTGACCAGTTTCTAAACTTGGTTAAAATAAGGATTTAGATCAGCCTGAACTCTTGGCTTATTCAAAGCATTCACATAATTTGTAATCACATTTGAGAACAGTGTAGATTTCTGTTCCTTGCCTGAGGGAATATCTGCTTCATAACAGAAGTCAGATAAAGTAAACGTGGTTGCTGAAGGACAAGAGATAAGCTTCGTTTACAGCTTTTTGGTTAAGCACATGCAGATTCAATTCCTCAGTTTTGATCTCTAGAACTATTCTAAAAGAGCAGTCACCTACACACACATGCACACAAATAATGGCTTGAAATACGATGGTAGCTTCAGATCCCATCTTCAGGCACAGCTTTTCCCATGAGCTGCCTTATATCCCAGAAAAAACAAAGGAGGTTTCCAGCAAAGCCCACAAGGTCTCACCTCAGCCAAGCTGTTTCTGGGTGAGGAGAGACAGTTTTAAAGCTTTAAAGCATTATCAACTCAGCAAACTTTTTTTTTTTTCCTGCCAACCCCAAGAGGGTTCAGCCTCAATGATCCAGAGCCTGTATTGCAAAAAAAAAAAAAAAAAAAAAAAAAAAAACACCAAACAAAAAAAACCCACAATTTCACATACAGTTCGGGCATTTAAGGGGAAAAAAGGATGCACAAGTTATACACAGGTTAATGTAAGCTCTGCCATAAAGCTGATCATTTAATTGCATCTTTCTACCTGAGAACCTGATTGACTAACTTTGTTTTAATCTGTCCAGCTACGAAGAGAGAAATACACCGTGTAGCCTGATTCTTACTCAAAGGAATATAATTTATTCTTTCAGCAGAAAAAAAAGATGTTATGGGTCTCCCATCTGCTTTCCTGGAATCTTTTTGGCACCAAAGGGGAGAACTACTCGAAATATGGCAGATTCTTGCAAAACACAAAGTAAAAAAAGGGGGATTGACTTGCTGCTCCATGAGTTTCCTGTGTTGTAGCCTTTTTGTGGGCTGGGGGAAGCACTCCAGACCTCACATCAGGGAGTTCTGCCTGCTCCTGATTGTCCCAAGGAGCAGAGTTTTCATCCCCTGGCACCGTGGGCAGCCCAGTTCAAACCTCCACTGGGTAACCACTGGGCTGGCTAAGGCTGATATTCCATGTAGGTGCTGGAAACGTCAGCGCTTCGAGCCACAGGGAGGGGTTTATAGGCTAAAATTGGTCTATTATTGGCATATTGTTACCATTTCTTTGGAGCAGAGAAAAATATGTGTCTTTTTTCATCTGTCATTTCCATCTATCAGGGATTTTGTCGTTCCTGGTCAGGCTTTGCTCTGGACATAGAGAATAGGAAACACTGGAGATGACATGTTTGTTTGTTAGTTAGTTATTTACTGGGTATTTCTCCTTTAATTTAAAATATGTGAGTAAAAGTGAGCCATCTATGCAGGCAGGAACTTGATTTTCTCCTCAGGTGGAACTGAGTAAAATTCACAACAGCAGCTTGGAAATCAAGGGGTTTTTTTAACATTGAAAAGAACCCCAATTCATCTCACAAATTTTTTTTAAAGGAGGCAGGAATTTCACTTAACCCTAGGAATTATTTTAAGCACCAAAATTCAAAATTACTTGTTCTGAGCTTTCTAAAAGAATTAGGAATGTTCATAAGTCTCATGGGTGTCAGGTAAATTGCTGATATCTCACAGGCACTCTCTTCTCCTCAGGAACTGGCATAAAAGTCACTTGATATAAGCTCAGTTTCAGAAATGCTGTGATTACAGTGACTCCTGCCAAATTATACAGGCTTATTTTTTCCTTGATGTGAGATTTTGGAAGGAGGGAATCATCTTTTCATTCTCAGGTTGGAGAGCACCCAGCTCAGAAGTGTTCTTGCTTCTGGCCACTACCATTGCACAAATGAAAACAATAAAATAGTTTTAAATAATAAAACAAAAAAATAAAATAAATATTACAATATAAAGCATTTTAAAATATTTTATAATTCCATAATAAAAATGAAATGAGACTTTCCCTTTGATGTGCATTTTGCTATGATGAGATATAAACAAAAAATAGATATCTGTACAAAATTAATACTAATGTTTTCCAACCCACAAAATTAAACAAGATGCTAGCTCCAAACTTTTTTTTTTTTCATTTTTTTCTTCTTTTTTTTCATGGAACACAGCAATTAATTTTGAAATCAGTTGTGTTTGGATAAAACTCTGTGTTCTTAGAAAGGCTTTCCTAAGTCCTGGCATCTTTAGTGGAACAGAAATCCATGCCAGTATGACAGTATTAATAAACTCCATTAAAAACAGCCAAAACTTGTTATTCATCATAAACATAAATGTCTAGAGGCAGAAGGGTAGATCTCAATTAGAAAAAGGAGACGTTTGAATGGTTTTTTACATAAAATTTTATCATTTATGTTGAGAATTTAGAATTAGTGTATTCACATTGGATTTGAATTTAGAATTAGTGTATTCACATTGGATTTGATTGCTGGCTACTGATTTTTTAGGCTATGTGGCTGAAATAAGGAGATTTTCACTCATTTAAAAAGAAAAAATCCTACTATTTTCAATAAGATAAATACTTTTTTAAATCCAGTAAAAACTGCAGAAGTGAGAAAGAGATGTTGTGAGTCCAAATTGTGTGTCTCTTCTATTCATCCCCTGTGCAGCCAACTGACCATTCAGAGCCCTAAAGATTACCTTTTGTGTCAAAAAATTATTGTGAAGGGACATATTCTGGCTGTTCATGAAAGAGGTTTTATGGGAAGCAGTAAGGCATTTCATGCTGGTCCCCCCCTTTTTTTATGTGTGCTCAGCTTCCATTTTTCATTTAATATTGTTAATTATTCCTCACTTTGGATGTGTGAACTGCATTTGCAGTTGCTCAGGCCCTTTGAGTGTGTGACTTTACAGACCCACAGCGGAATTATTTCACATTTTCCCTTGCATCAGCAATTTTGTGCTGGGTTTCGAAATCCTTGGATGCTTTTATTAGACTCCTTTTTTATTCCCTGTGTAAGCCAGATCCTTTAAACAAGATTAGTCAAGGCTGAGCCTGTGCCACTGGCTTCCAGTGCCAGTTCATGGGGATGTCTGGTGGCAGAGTTGGTTCTTATACACATTTCCACAGCTGTTTGCCACCCAGGAATATGAATTTGTGAGCCTTGCATTTTCTCTCATATCTCCACTTTTTATGTACCGTTTTAAAGGATTATTTATCAAGAAACTCCTTCTTACATCAAGATAATCACCGAATGCATTATTTCTCTCACTTTTAAATCAGTGACTTCCACAGAACAATCAATGCTCAGAGGTAGACAGTTCAATTTTGAACCATCCTTAATGCATCTGGCAAGAGGTGTTGGATATTTTGCACTCAGAAATTCAGGCACATCAAAAAGCATGAGAAAGCATCACTGGTGAGGGGAAAACCCCTCTCCTTGAGGTGTTCACCAGATAAGGGTTCTCTAATTGAGGAAAATCAGAAAAATCAAAGTAGGTGGTGTTGGGCAAAGAAAAGTGGCTGTGTATTTCCATGCAGACACACACCTGAAGCTTTCACAAGTCATGGGTGTGGCAGACAATAATTATTTTGGTGTATTAGGTACCTGGGGTCCATCTGACTGTGCTGGTGGTGACGCCAGGGGGAGGAGGATGCCTGTTGAATTTAGGAAAAACCCAAGAAAATGCCTCCTGAATTTGGACAAAGCCTGAAAACACTCTTGATGTGGTGAAATCTCTGGCCAGGTCACAGAGAATCAGATGCAGAGACTCTTGTGGATGCTGTGGGAGAATGGTATGGGTTGCAAGAGGAATTGCATCCCCAAACAATAGCTGCTTGAGGCATTATTAAGTGTGAGGAGAAATCTTGTGGCTTCCTGGCTTCCAGGACAGTGACACTGCTGTCAGTCTAATTTGCCATAGTAGATGTCGTGCTAAGCTGCATCTCCACATCCATTTTCTGAGGGCAAGCCTCATCCCACCCAATTCCATTCACTGAAAACCCACAGTCCTGCCTAAACCAGCAGCCTCTTCTTCCTCTGTGGTCAGAGGGAAGAGACATCCCCTTCTGATGGCTGATTCATGCTGTCCTCAGCCAGGATGGGTGTGAAAAACCCCCTCTGGAGCTGCCTGCTTCTCTTCACTTCCAGCTCCCAGCCCTGTGACAGCATGCCCTATGGGAATCACAGAATTATTAAGGGTGGAAACGTCCTCTGAGACCATTGAGTCCAAGTTTCCCCAGTGCTGTCAAGCCCACAGCTAACCCACGTCCCCAGGTGTCACATCCACAAACCTTCTGAACACCTCCAGGGCTGGTGACTCCACCACTGCCCTGGGCAGCCCATTGCAATGCTTTTCAGTGGAAAAAAAAAAAAAAACCAAAAAAAAAACATCTAATTTAAACCTCCCCTGGTGGAATTTGAGGCTGCTTCCTCTTGTGCTGTCACTTGATACCCAGGTGAAAAGATTGGCTGGAAATTGTAAGGAGAGATGACCCAATGCACGTGATAAGAGCTCAGGGAGAAAAGTTTTCTCTCACGACCCTTCTCAACCCCAGAAATGTCCCTAAAAACGTCCCCATGATCAAGGTACCTGCCCTGGGCTCCAGCTGCAAGGAAGGCTAGGAAAAACTGAATTTTTTTCTGTGGTATCAAAACTGGACTCGGTCTCAGCACGTGCTCACCACAGAAAAATATTTTGGGCCAGCAAACTGGGTGCAGTCAACCCAATCATCCCAAACCTGGACAATCACTAATTACATCATGAAAATCACAATATTCTGCAGGAGCACGCTATGAAAACTTCAGGAAATCACTCAGCAAGCTC